CCTTCCCCAAGCCCCAGCCTCAGAGGCCTCACTGGAGCACAGCTCCCCCCTGTGGCCAGAGCAGCACATTTCCCAGACCTCAGGCCTCTCACCACCCAGCCTCAACCATCCAGATGTCCCACGTGCCACACACTGAGCAGCTGGGAGGGCTTTGAAAAGCCAGAGGAGAATGGGGAGGAAGGAAGCATGGGAAACCACAAAGAGACTCACAACAACTCTGGCCATCCACACTGCTGGGACCTTCCACTTTTTACTCAACAGGGATTGTCTGTGTCTGGGTCCTAGCAAAGAGAAAAACAGGCAGTATCCCGGCCCCTCTGGAGCCTGTGCGCAGCTGAGTTGTTCAACACATGCTCGCTGAGGAACAGCAGGGGCAAGCACAAAAGCATCAGCGTTTTCAGCCACAGAATTCTATTCGAGTTGGGCAATTAAACATATTTACAAGGGGAATGAAATGTATGTCATAGGAAGTTTGAGAAATGTGCCCAGTATTTCAATCACTGCATATGTGTGACGCCATATTTCATCTTCTATTAAATCAGGGAAAGTGATATGAAATGGTTGCCAAAACCCTTTCCATTTACAAACCAAACCAGGGTCATCGTTCTGCAGGTAGCTCTCTAGCTTAGGAGTAGCTAGGACGACTTCCCATAGGGTTCTTCCACTTGACTACATAAACTGTTGATATTTTTTGACCATTCTTTATTGGAATATCATGTATATTTTTGAACTGTAATGTCATACCAGTAATGGGCTTTTATTGTATCAAATTTAAAGATACAATTAAACACAAAAATGAAGTGATCTATAATACCTGAATGATTTTTGCCTCCTGTCTATTGGTACAGTACATATTCATTATCAGTTTGTAATGACAAATATAATTGTAGGCTTGGGTGTATAAATAGTTATACTTCTTTGTTATGTATGAATCTATGTTGCAGCTAATGACGACATTACTCATGATTTAATCAAGGGTCGATATTTAAGTATTTTTTTTTTTGTAACCTGGAGACGTGCTGGGTCAGGAGGAAAGTGTTAGCATTTTTCTAATATATGAAATTCCATTGGATATTCAATGTGGCCCATAAAACAAAAAAAATAAAGGTATGTGGATTAGAATTTAGGAAAAGGGGATTGGATATTCTCCCCCAGAACAGGTTACATATACAATGGACCTCCAACTGGCTACAGTTGGAAATATTCCATTCTTAGATAAGAACCTAAAATGTAGGCATTTCCCACAGCAAGGGGTGGGTGAAAGGTGAGCTTGAATCATCTGGATTAGGGATGTTCCTGCACAAGGAAAGTGATCTCAGGACAGTCTGAGTTGCAAGAAGGAAACATGAAGAGTGGAATAGTGAACATGAAGTAAATTCAACCAAAAATGTTTATATAAAAATGTAGCAGTATATGTTGACTGGCATTAAAAACAGAAGATGTAACTGATTCTAAGACAGCTAAGATTTGGGGTACGGAGTACTGACACAGAGCCCTGAGAGTATGTGAAGGAAATTCCCTTTGTTCTGGGCCAGTTCCTGATTGCATATGCAGAGGGTGGCACTCAAGAGTGCTGAGCAGACAGCAAGTCCTGCAAGGCTGGAGAGTTCAGCAGAGATTTCAGAAGTCACCCAGAGCGGGAAGACACTGGCATTCAGTCCCAGCTAGAGCGGAGAGACAAGGTGCACGTGCTGTGATTCCCACTGAGACCCCGAAAGGCCACACACTGGTAATGATGCCACATGCCAGCGCCCCATAAGAGGGAGGACACAGCTGAAATAGCCATTAGCAAATCCAACATTCAGACGGACCAGTACAGAACCCAACACTTCTCCCTCACTCCTTCTTTCTAGTTTACCTGTTGCTATGGACTTTCATGCTTCTCCTAACATTTTTCTGTTAAACAGGATAGTCACTGATAATCTGAATTTCCTTTTAATCTTAGAAACATTTTTCTTCTCCTCTCCTTATGTTTGTGCCCATGATTTTTAGCAATAGTGTATTTTAAATTATAATGCTGTGTGCAAGATGTACCAATATGTACAGCAGAGAAAGACAGAAATGGTTTCTTCCATGAGTTAAGATCTTCAGTGCATGCAACAGGGGCCAGTTTTGTTTGCGAAGTCCTAGTACTTTGGTGAACTTACTGTGAACCCCCTGCTCTAGCTGATAAATGGAATTCTGGAAGACCTCTGTGTGGGTAAAATGTAGCACGGCCCTATTGGGAGTACAGGCC